AGAAAGAAGCCCATGTAATAAAGACAAGCAATGCTCAGTAACAGCTGCAGCACAGGTTCAGAGCAGACTGGCCACCTTGGCAAATCTAGCAGCCCACACTGAAATCCAGCATCTTACTGGCATCATGCCTAAAGTAGCCACATAATTGTGCACCCACATCTACACAGCTCCAGAAAGCACCAGAGGGGTCAGATCCAAGGTAATACACAGTATTTGTCATTTATGCTCCTTCCTTTTGCCCCCAGCAGTAGTTCTGATGTAGATAACCTGTTCCAATAACTCCCATTCTGAACTGGGATCAGTCTGTAGGTCACAAAATCCAATCAGTTTGTTACAGTCATCTCTTCCCATTAATTTCCCCTTTTCAGGGAAAAAATTGCACAACTCATCCAGCTTCAGGAAAAGTAACGAAGCAGGCTGGCAGGGGACCAGAAGGAAATTGCCCTCACTTCTACTGACCTTGTCCTCAAAGCCATTGTCTGTAGCACGTGTGGGCGGCTTCCCGGGGTACCGGTACACGATGAAGTCTCGCCTAGGTAAGCACAGGGAAAACAAGGCTTGCAAGAGCACACTTTCAGTAGAACCACGTCATGAAGAAGTTTCCAGCGATCAGTTTAGAGCTGGTGGTTTACAGAAAAATCAAGCAAAGCACTTTCCCTGATAAATGAATGCTACCATCAAGCAATAGCCAGATGAGCAAACCTATCTCGAGGAGAAAACAAAAATTATCTGTGAAAGACCACGATCTCACAGATTCTTAATCTCTCTCTTAATCTGTTTACTCACAGATTTAGTCAAGTACTTATACTTACAGAAGGGTGCTCAGACACTGAGACTATTCACTCTAAGTGATTTAGGCACCCTGCATAAGGACTAAAACCTCAAGCTGCAGGGAGCTAGTAATTCCTGCTAAACTTCAGTTACTCCTTTAGTACTGGGACAGAGTGAGCCTGCAAAAGGAGACTTCTATCTCCTACCACTAGAGAGCCAGACTGCTTTTTACAGAGAGCAGTATTTAATTAGCTTAATTCAGCAAGACAGCAGCACCTGCACAGTTCTGTGTTACATCTGAAATAAACAGCAGTGTTTACACACCAGGCAGGGCAGGTACTCCTCACTCCTGGACCCTTCAAGACCACCTACATGAGTTTTAGTCATGCTTGTAACTACCACACAGTGTTTCCACTGCATACAGCTCCTTGGTTTTCCCCATTTTCCAGTCTTCAGCCACTAGAAGCAAACAGTTGACATTCAAGCTTAACATCAGCAGAAAGATAACAAGCAATCATCCCTGGAAACTGACCCTGCCCTTAATCCCCACTAGAACAGGGGCTGTGATGGCACCATTTACATGCTTAATTAAGTTTTAGAAACATTTCTCATCCCGTTTCACACATTCACCTCTCAGTGGTAAACACACAAGAAAGTTCTGGGGCCAGAACCCTCACACCAAGGGCAAAACGAAGTAAACTTTAAGAAATAGGTACTTACTTGTACATCATTGATAAAGCACTTATTTCCAGCTGGCCAGCACTTTCCTATGCAACATTATGAGATTATGTGAGATAGCAGCAGAATCTAAACATCAAGAACTACAGTCTACATTTCTGTAGCATTAAAATTCTCCACAATTAAAATACCTGTTCAAAATCATCAGTTTATTAAAGCAATAATGCACTGCAAGTTGAGCTATAAGGATTTAAGGGAGAGTGAGATAAAAGGAGTCTGCTACATGTGCTGGCCACAATTACCAGAATCAGTAAGACTAAGCTGCTCCAACACATCAATTTAGATACTTTTTTTTAAACCCACATTTGTTTCAGAAACTGCTGCATTCACCAAGGTTACTGGTCAAAGAATAAAGAAATAGAAGTCTGAACAGTAAAGGAAGAAGCAGGGGATTGTAAAGCCTGACAGACATTTTATTTAAGGTATATTCCACATATTTTCTTTTTTCTTCTTAAAGAGCTACAGTTATGAATAAGCTTTTACTGTCCAGCCTGCAGAGACTGCTCCTTTGCACCCATGCAAATTCCCTACTAAAACTGGTATTGTTTATACATGTACACTTTATTTACATTTATCTGTACAAACCCCAAGTGTTACTTATGCAACTGATTCCCAAAGATTTGGGTCTACCTAAAAAAACCCCATAAGCTCAAATAACCATATTTTTAAATAACTACCTAAATCCCTCACTGTTCTAGCCTCTTCATATTTAAATCTCTTAATAAGTCTTAGACCAGGCTTACCTTTGGATCTCCTAGTCGTTCTAGGTATTTCTCAAACGAACCTTCCACATACTTTTGACAAAACAAAGAAGAAAACAGATATAAAAACTTAGGCAGTTAGAAAGCAAAAATTAAATCTAAAGACTACTTAACAGCTACCAGCTGTTGATTTGGAGGGGGCAAAGCATGCAGAACATAAGAATGATTTGGGGTATCAACGTGAGAATACCAAGAGATCCCAAAAAAATATTAAGGACATGAGTCCAAGTAATATTCAAGTCCCTTCTAGATGAGATGAAGAACTTAAATGTGATTACAGGGAAAACAAAGAAAAACCCCAAAACACATAAAAACCCTACAATACCACACACACAAAACCAACCAAAAAACACACCTCAAAACTCCACAACTTTTTGGAATTATTCCAGAATTTCCCAGCATCTTTGGTTATTCATTTCTTGCTCCAAAAACCTACACATTTCCCACCTACTAAATTCTGCAATGGTCACCCCACAGAGAATATGCTACACAAATTACTTGCCCCACTCACTACTTAAGTTTTATTAACTTGTTTTCAGGAACTTCAGAACCAAAATCAAGACTTGTGGAACTGAACTCAGCACAAGGAAGCAGTCACCCTCATTTCTCCTGTCTTTCAAGCACCAAGCGTGACAAACCATCATGTTCTCAGTGCTAAACCCACTCCCACAGCACTTCCCAGCTGCGGGCACCCAGCTTAGATACAGAACTTGTGATACTTACGGATTCAAACCTCGACTGGTGCTGCCTCATAAACGAGACACAAACTTTCCTAACTTCTGCGTGGTGAATCTGAGATGAAAACAGCTGGAAAGATAACGGTAACAAAGGAGAAAACGTCAGGAGTTCATCTTGCGCCTCGCGTTAGGCATGAGCTGCCCAGTGCAACGCCACCACAACAGGAGGCGGTGCGGAGGCTGGGGACACCTGGGGACACCTGAGGGGAGCCCAAGCGCCGCAGCCGGTCACAACCATCCCCACACACATCCCCACGCATCCCCGCTGCCGCCACCTCGCCCTGGGCACCCGCCCGGGTCCCCAGGAGCTCTCCGGAGGCACCCCCGGCCCGGGCCGGGCCTGAGGCGCCCCGGCTGCCCCCAGCCCGGCCGGCTGCGCACCTGCTCCGAGACGGCTCGGAAGAGGCAGGAGGCGTCCTTGGCCGTCATCTTGCGGTACAGCCCCAGGCTGCCCAGGTACTCGTCCATGGCCACCTCGCTGAAGGACTTCTGCCCGAAGTACTTTTTGGAGCCTTTGTGCATCTTCCCGGCCGGGGCGGCTGAGGCAGGCGCGGAGACGCGGGCGAGGCGCGAGGCGCCGGGCGCGCGGCCGCCGCTAATGAGGCGCCGCTAATGAGGCACCGCGCCCACCTGCGGGACGGGACAGCCCGGCCCCGGCCCCCCGCGTCCCGCCGGGGCCATTTTAGGTGGTTTTGGGACAGTTTTGGGAGTGCCCGGCTCGCGGGGTGGGTGCGTGTCCCAAGGCGCCCGCACGTGCCTTGGCTCAGCTCGCTCCTTCAGCTTCATCGCTCGACCAGCGCGAACATCGCTCCAGCGGTTATCCGGGATTCCCTCCGTGAGTTGCTAGCAGTGGGTTTGAAATAACTCCATTGAAATTGTTAAGGGAATCAAAAATGTTAGTGGCTCCAAATAGTCAAGTATTTGGAGCAAACTTTTGGGGGATTGGCGAAACTGAGCCTTGCACAGCCGTCCGGCCTGATTTATTCCACCCGTGCTTGATTTGAATGCTTCTATGTGCATTTAACTTCCTCATAAAAATTGTACTTAAACATCAGATGGGCCAATTCAGGAGTTTAATTTTCTTGTTTTAAAAAACAAAAGCACCCACCCCCCCCAACGAACAATGTCCTTTTAGGAAGGGCAATTAGCACTAATTATGCACTTCTAAATTTCTAGAGCATTAGAAGCCCTTGAACATTTTAAAGTTTAAACCCCCTTTGGTTTTCAAAATATTTACTTGAAGAAATCGATGTAACACATCATTGTCAAATTCGATACTCTGCATGGGAAGCTGTGATCAGCATCAAAGAATCCCAGAATGGTTTGGGTTTGCAGGCACCCTAAAGTTCATCCTGTTTCAACCTCCCTGCCATGGGCAGGGACACCTTCTAAAATTCCAGGTTGCTCCAAGCCCCAGTGTCCAGCCTGGCCTTGGGCACTGCCAGGGATCCAGGGGCAGCCACAGCTGCTCTGGGAAGCTGTGCCAGGGCCTCCCCACCCTAAGAGGGAAGAATTTCTTCCTTACATAAAATCTAAATGGGAAACACTGGGCATGCAGAGGTCCAAACCGACGGGTTATGATGGGGTAACACCATGAAAAAGGAGTGATTGTATTGCTAAGCCCACTCCTGTCCTGTGTTTTGTGGGTAAATCACCCAAACAAAGGGCAGCAGCTTGGCAGCAGGTTTGCAGCTTGTGACTTTTTTCACCTGGATTCACTACATGCCTTTTTCCCTTTTCAGGCTTAAATACCTCCGTTTTAAGCTCTCTTTTCAGTGCTTCTGTAAACACATGAACCAAGAGGAAGGCATCTGCAGAACATCACAGGAACATCAACAAAGACAATTTATTTCCACCTGTACTTGGCAAAAAAGGTCAAGAAACCACAATGCATATGCCATGCCTGTAAAGAAGTAGTTTAGCTTGTCCCCATCACTGGAATTACCATCCCAGTGCAGCTTTTATGATATAAATATGTCTGTCCATGCCACTAGACAGTTCATACTCCCTCTTTATTGGCATTGTACTCTCTTATGCATAAAGCTAAATGAATTTTACACTAAATTGGAAGCCATGTAATATCAGTTAATATTAAATGGTATTTTCTTTGAGTGTTTGGCCCAGTTGCAGATCTTAAGTGAAGAAGATGAGATATTTTATTCCAACTTTTTAATTTCTGTTTTGTTTATTGTAACCCAAAAACTGTATCCAAGAACGAAGCAAACTTTTCTGGCTGTCCAGGAGGAAAAGGTTTCAAAGCTGACAAGTCCATCGACTGCAGCGTCTCCACAAGAGTGCTGTAAAAACAGAACAAAAGCAAAAATTAAAGAAGAAAGAGCCATCCCATAGGAAATTTTTTGATACAGTTTTCTGCATCCATATGTAATTCTTGAGCATGGAAATATTAAATAAGGATATGTATGGAAAGGAAGAGAATGCCCAGAGCAGCAGGCCCCAGCCAACACTGGCACATAGGCAGCATTGCTGAGAACAACTTCCATCAGCTTTCAGAGACAAACTCAACTTTTAAACTTTCTAATCTTCTGTGGCTGCAGTGCTGGGAGACTGAACAAGATCTGAGGCTCTGCTCCATAAACCATAGGAGGAAATCCATCCTATTTGAACACGTGGCAGAGTTCTCCCCTGATCAGAGCCAGAAAGAACAGCTACATCAATCTGTTCCTTGCTATTATCAGGCTGCAAATAAGGCTGAGATGCTTGGCACTGCACAACACAAAGAAATAAAAATTCCAAAGCTGACAGAAGCACCAAGATAATGAGTTTAAGAAACTTGATCAATTTAAATGCCAGGCCTGGTCTGTTCAGAAAGCTCTTCTGAAACATATGAAACTCTGCTTGCAAGGCAAAGGAACAAGATGCAGCTAAGTAATGGGAGTTACATTTTTTCTGCCTTCAGTTTAAAAGTAATCTGTTATTTTTGGACTGGAGACAATCACAAGTAAAGAGCAAACAGTAAAATACAGTCAAAACCAGGAGAAGAAATGAACCCAACAGGAGTCAGGACGAACTCTTAAAAGGAGCTAGGGGTTTTAGTGATGGTGGGATTTTTTTCATGTGTTGTTTGCTTGTGGGGTGGGGGTTTTTTTGGTGTGTGTTTTTGTTTGTTTGGTTTGGGTTTTTCTCCTGAAGTGACAGGCAGTAGATCTGTGCAACTCCTTGTCAGAGGGTATGATGGATTCAGCAAGTTTGGTTAAAAGGGCAGCCTGAATGAGTACTTGAAAGACAGGGGTACTTAAAGATACTAACCAGATAATACCTGCTTTACTAATCCGCTGAATCCATGTGTTTTTCTTTTTTTAATCTAAATACATGTACCCTCAAATGGTAAAAAAATAATTAGAAGAGGTTGTGGTCAAAAGGCTTGGTAAGTGTGGTAAATTACTACCTAGTGTTATCCTATTCACTCTGGAAAATATCCAGATGGAGATTACAGAGAAGGTTGTATATTTCCTTGTTACAGTCTCAGTTCTGCAGCCACATGGACTGAATGCTCTGCCCAGCAGGAACAGCTGCAGCAGCTTCATACCTGCAGTTACAGTAGAGGACACAGCCATCTCTGTGGAGCTGTTTGGCCAGCTCAAGCTGATGGTTGTCCATCAGCTTGTCATTTATTACTACTATTAGTGGTTTTCCTTTCTCTAGAGTCTCCAGGCAGCTACCAGCACCTACGAGAGAAACAGAAAACATGGTGAGAGATGAAATACGCCCCTTCTTGCTGCTAAAACAGGGGAGCCTCTTGAAGAACCCAGCTTTAGCTGTGCACCTCAGCACTCCCAGCCAGCCCACCCCTGCCCGGAGAGGCTCCATCCCACGGACCTCCCGCAGCCGCAGGAAGCAGCGGGGCTGTACCTGCGTGGCTGATGACCAGGTCAGCGCTCTGCAGCTCCTCGGCCAGCGAGTCCTTGAAGCGGAACGCCTCCACCGCCACGGCCGAGCTGCTGCTGGGCTGCGGCAGCGAGCCCCGGCCCACCTGCAGCACCAGCTTCTGGTACCCGCGGCTCTGCAGCGCCTGCGGGGCACGGCACGCGTGAAGGCGGGGGACAGCGGGGGGATAACGCGGTGGGGAGGATGGTGGGGAGGGGGCGATGGAGAGAGAGATGGAGAGGAAAGGGATGTGGGGGTGGGATGAAGGGGATGAGGCGGGGATAGAGAGGGTGTGTGAGGGGTGTGCGAGGGGTGTGCCCAGCTCCCGACTACCCCGGTAGCGCTGCTCCCTCCCCTTCCTCCACCAAGAGTTCACGCTTCTCCCCCGGGAGCCCTCGACCCGCCCCGGCGCCCTCAGGCACTCGGCACCGCCGCCGGGACGCGGCAGGGAGGGCGGGGCAGCTCGCGGCGCGCAGGCGCCAGCCCCGGCAGGGCAGGCCTGGCCCGGGGCCGGTGTCGGTGTCTCGGCCGGCTGACCTGCAGCGCGGGCGGGGAGCGGGCGGTGGCGATCAGCTCGTCGAAGCTGGTGGTGCCCACGGTGACGAACACGGACTTCATGGCCGCCGGACGGGATGGGACGGGCCGGCCGCGGGGCCGCCAGGGGGCGCCGCGCGCCCGCGCAGAGCTCCCGAAATGGCGGCCGGGCTGAGGGGAGGGACGGGGCGGGCGGGAACGCCTCCTTCCCTCACGGGCCCGGCCCCCGTGTCCCTCCGTGTCCCTCCGTGTCCCTCCCTGTCTCTCCGTGTCTCTCCCTGTCCCCTACCGTGGCTTCTCTTCGCGGATGTTCCCTTCCCGTTTCTGAGAGGCTGGTGCCACCATGGCGTGGGTTTCTTCCCCACGGTGTGGCACCTCTAACGAGGGCACTGTTCCGCAGCGTTTAGGGGTGTGTTTCAGGTTTTTAGACTTTCAAGGAGAAGAGGAAAAATTTAATTTGGAAAAGGGATTCTGAAAGTTTTGGCCTGCACGTGTTATTTCAGCATTGGGGACCCACATAACTCGCGGACAGTCTGTCTGGGTGTGTTCAGAGCCATTGCCAAGTAGGGCCACAGCCACCTTCCCTTTACAGACTGATAGTGGCCCAAGCCTCCCACAACACTTATTGGGGGAGTAACACTTTAACTTCTACCCCAAAATCATGAATATTAGATGTGTTAACACAGTCATGAATATTAAATATGTTAAATGTGTTCACTGAAGAGTAAGAATGACCCTGAACAGTTGCACAAACCGAGCTGGCAGTTTTGTTTCTCAATAGTAAGTGTAGCACAATGCACAATTTGCTACAAAGATAAACCAAAGTTAGACATCTATATATATTTATTCCCTGAATTAAATTCAACAGATGAGGTCACAACTGTATACACAGTTGTGCATACATGATGTTCGAAGAAGGATGCGGCTGTCTTGAGGAAACCTCTGATTGCCATGTTAATGCCTTGTTCACAATGCTCATTAGCCCCCTGTTGTTTTCATTTAGCATAATGAGCCACGCTGAAATTTATTTATTTTTTTATTAAAGCAAGTAGTGCTGACAGCAGACACTGTCTGGGGGAAAAATGCAGCATTATTGGTGTCCTGAGTGCACAGGGACTTAGTGGCTCTGCCCAGCCTCATCCAGCTCTTGCTGTTGTCCCTCAGGAAAAGGAATGTGGGAGCTGAGGGTGGCCACAACACCAGCCAGGTAAAGACCTCACCAACAGGACATGGTCCAGTGATATGTCCAAGGACACGGACACAATGTCAGCCCAGGAAACCCAAACAGCAGTTCAGGAATAGAATTAGCAGCAAAGGCACCCACAAGTCACCTCTGTCATCCCAGCATGAGCAGGACATGGTTAGGTGGGTTCAGAGGAGGGCCACAAAGAGGCTCAGGGGCTGGAACACCTCTGCTGGGGAGACAGGCTGGGAGAGCTCAGTGTTCAGCCTGGAGAAGAGAAGACTCCAGGGAGACCTTAGAATCCCTTCCAGTGCTTAAAGGGGCTCCCTGGAAGTGTCCAAGACCAGGTTGGATGGGGCTTGGAGCAACCTGGGATAGTGGAAAGTGTCCCTGCCCATGGCAGAGAGTTAAAACTGGGTGAACTTAAGGTCCCTGCAAACCCAAACCTTCTATGGTTCTATTTAAACCCCAAAGTTAAACAAAGTCCCAGTCCAAGAGTGTGAGTGGAAGCCCCAGCTGAGAGTGGCCAGACAATTAGTCCAGTTAGGGCCCTGACAGCTGTGGGAGAAGAAGGGAGATTTGGGATGAAAAGGAAAATGATAAATTTTTCAGGTGTTGGAGATGAGGTTCAGCACCTGGTAAAGGATAATTCAGTGTTAGCAGTTTTGGTTGGTTTTTTCATGTGTCACTACAAGTCAGTGTCCTCTGCAGCTAGCACTTCCAGCTTCATGCTGTACTGGGGCTAGAAGAAAAAATATTCACATGTAAAATTGCAGTGACTTAAATTTGTGTTGGAGTTTTCACTGGAGGATACATTCCACTTGCACACTGAATCAGGCTTGTTAGGGGTGATTTTAAATGGAAGAGAAAAGGGAAAACCATCCATTAAGGGACTCAATTTCATGCTAATTTGTACCTGCTGTTTTAATTAGAAGTTGTGTAGGGCATAAGTAGAATTTTGCCCATGAGTGCTTATGCTGAGGTCTGTGAGAACTACAGATCACTCAAAATGAGGTACTTAGAGCTGAGCCTGTGCAGTTTCAAGGCAGGCAGAGGTCGTGTAATCCAGGCTTGGTGCTGTGTCTTGTGTCGTTGCTGCCTCTGTGACAAACCACACCGTGGCCACAGAGCTGACCTGCCAGGGACTTGTTTGCAGTTAGATCAGCTCACGGGGCTGCACAGGCAGCACTGCCAGCACGAGGGAGGTGGCAGAGCTGTGGTACATTGCATTTAGTCTGTTTTAAACACTGGGGATTGCACCTCTGTTCACCCGTTGTTGTCATAAGCTGCAGGCACGTTCTCTGAGCCCTGTGGCTCGGGCAGCTGAGTGCCTGTAGCTTTGGGGCAAACCTGGTGTGAGCCTAGCCCTGCCTGGGCTGGGCAGTCTCTCTTTGCAGTGCCAATTGTCTCTCTCCAGTCTGTGTGTGTGTGGTATTAGCAGGGACAGTCCAGAACTAGGGGCTCAATCTGACATCATGTGGTCCTGGACCCCAGGGAGGGGCTAGGACGGGGCTGAAATGGAAAATAGGTTCTTGTGAGAGCTTGCTCCCATCTGTGCATTACAGGCCATAATTTATATTCTGATATTTTCTTCCTGTGACAACATCTGGGCAAGAAAGTGAAGATGTCATGAGTGCAAGCTGGTTTTTGTTGGGAAAGGAATGACAATCCCTCCCCTCTTCTCCTTAGCTGGTGTTTGAAATGTTCTGGATGGCTCAGTTTTGAGCACTGTCCTTTTGTATTCAGTTGAGCTTGCCACGATTTGCCCACAAAGCTCTATAATTATATTATTCAGGGGTAAGAAGCAAATGAAAATAAACTAGTCATCTTACATCTTTGTGTCTGAAAACTACATCCTGCCTTTAGTTTGCTCTTGAAGTCTAAAGGCTGAACCCCAGTTGTGGAGATAAAACTCTCATGACCCTTGAAATGCGTGGGCCACAGTGTATCAAATAATGAATCATTAAAAAATAAACACCAACAGGAAGGCAGGAAACCTGTGTGAGTCTACAAACTTTGATTTTCTTTGAAGGAAAAAAAGCTAATGACTGGCTAGTTATTGACTTTGCTTTCCCTTGTATTTTGTGCACAGATTGATTCTCCATATGGCTTGTGATATAATGCTGCAGCGGATGACATGAAGCACAGGAGAGCAATTAGACTTCTCCACACTAAATTTATGCTTTTTCTATGTTTATAAATGTGCAGAAAGAGTAAAGGTAGTCTTACTTCTGTTTCCGATTTGCTTTATATAAATTTGAGCTGAAAAATATTTGCTTCCTTTTCTGTGGGGAGCTTTGAAAATCAGATGGAGGATCTTTAGGGGAATAATTCCTTCATATTACTGTAATTCAGAGATGCTTGGCCTGGGAAAATAACAGAGTAGCATTTGTCAGGCAAATGTCAATTTGAAATATTTCATCACATTTTTACATCCTTTGAATTGTGTCTTTGTGGGCTTGTTATTTAGCAGCTGGATTGACACAAAGGCTCAGACTGACTGGAAATAGGGAGATGTTGGATCACCTCCTCCTCAGGAGACAGACACCGAAGCACATGAGGAACCCTTCTGACTGAATATCTCGCATGTGGAGTGGAGCAGGAGCCTGTGCCTCAGCCAGAATGAGTGTCCACCAGCTGACAGCTCTCATGGATTTTTCTGAATTTGCCACATTTTGTGGTGTGCCTTGGAGCCCCGCGTTCTGGAATTATGGAATCATAGTTTTTAAGGCCTTGCATTTCTGAAGAGGAGAGAGAAAACCACTCAGTGACTCTGAAGACACAAACAATACTTGCTGGAGATCTATAACTATGTATCTGTTTGTTACTCCTGTTGTGCTTATATTTAAACAATGTAATGATTCCTGGAGACCTGAGCTTCAGGAAGCTGAGCGTTTACTCATTTATGAAAGTAAATGGCCTTTGCTCTCTGATGAAGCAGGAGGGCATCTCTGCCCTGGGATACAGCCCATGCTGTGTTTCAATCCTCATTACAGGGACTGTGGCTGGGCTGATTGGTACCAGCCCTGGAGCTGGATCCTTCCTGATGCTCAAGGCCTCTGCTGGTTTTCTGTCATAGGTAAAATGCTCACCTTAAAGAACCAGAAAATGGACTTCATATCAAATAAATGAAATTTCTCAAAGCTGGCAATTTTCAGCAGTGTTTGGGTTATTGGGAGGTGAAATAAAATAACTTGAAGTGCGGTGGCAAACCAGGCCAGTGTGCAGAGGTAGGAGGGAGTCTGAGGTCTGTTGCAGGGAGGACTCAGTGTTGTGATGTCTCCTGGTAACTGTTCCCCTCAGCTCCCCTGGGATCCTGCTCTTTGCTGTCTGTGGAAAACACTCGCCACCATTCCTGCCTGCTGGCCACCAGCACACACCTCCACAGCAGTCCACTGTGTGAGCACCCTGCCACTCCATATTCCTGCATAATCCCTCTGACAACCAAATCTATTAAAAATTCATTTTCATCCAGGCAAATCAGACTCCCTCAAATCAATTGAGCTTTGTTCTCTGAGGGCAGCTTGTGCTGGTGCAAATATAATCAAATCCTGAGGTGCCTTGCATGCATTTTTACAAGCACTGAGATGGAATTCATGTTTCAATTATTCTTTTTGATGTGCATTTTTAAAGGAAATTAGAATATTATGCTCAAGTAAACCAACAGTTTTAGATCTTTACGAAGGAACTCCAAGTGAGCCAAATTCCTTTTCCCAGACAGTCCCAATGATGCAAGTACAT